TGCACACCCATGTTTATAGTGGAACAGTTTTTAATAGCTAAAACTTGGAAACAACCTAATTGCCCATCAACTGGAGAGGGGATAAAGAAGATGTGGTTTTTCTATAATGGAGTACTACTCAGCCATAAAGAATGAGAAACTAGAATCATTCATAGGAAAATGGATGTATATTGAGGCCATACTCTTAAGTAAAATAAATAAGATACACATGTAAATACTGAATAGTTTATCTGGTGTGAACAACTAAAAGTGTAAATAAGGTTCAAGTTGTATAAATGATAGTGGAAAATAGAGAGAAAATATCTAAAGGGGAAATGGGAAGGGGAGAGGAAAGAAAATAAGGGAAAAGAAAAAATGTGAAAAAAAGAAAAAATGGAAACAAAGTCTTTGTAAATAGGGAAGGGTGAAGGGGATGAAGGGAGGGCAGAGGTATGGGGAAAAATAACAATCAAGATACATCAAGTAAAGGTACAGGATCCCAATGATGAATGTAACTGTATTGTTTGCTTTAAATGTACCAATAAACATAAAGGGAAAAATTAATATAATACACTATATTAACTGAGCAAAGGACAAAAACCACATGATCATCTCAACAGATGCAGGAAAAGCATTCAATAAAATTCAACGCCCATTTATGGTAAAAAACCCTGCAGAAAATTGGAATAGATGGTGTTCATCCCAATTTGTTAAAGGCTATGAAAATCCAACAGCCAACATCATACTAAATGGTCAAAAACTGAAAACCTTCATGCTAAAATCAGGAACAAGACAAGGATGTCCACTCTCATCACTCCTGTTCAATATAGTTTTGGAAATATTAGCCACAGCAATTAGACAAGAGATAGAAATAAAAGCAATAAAGACAGGAAAGGGAAAAGTGAAACTGTCATTATTTGCTGATGATATGATACTCTACATAGAAGACCTAAAGAACTCTGCTAAAACACTTCTTGACTTGATTGATAGATTCAGTAGAGTAGCTGGATAGAAGGCATCATAGCCTTCTTGTACACAAATAGAAGATTCACTGAGAGTGAAATTATGGAAATAATCTCTTCCACAATAGTATCCAAAAAATGAAATATCCAGGAATCAATCTAACAAAGGAAACAAAAGACCTCTACATTGAGAAGTACAACACTCTGAAAAAAAAAAAAGATATTGAAGAGGACATAAGAAAATGAGAAGGCATCCCTTGTTCCCGGGTAGAAAGACTCAATATAGTGAAAATGGCCATGCTATCAAAACTGCTATACAGATTCAATGCAATCCCTATTGAAATCCCAACAGTATATTTCATAGAACCAGAGAAAACAATACAAAAATTCATTTGGAATTAGAAGAGACCTAGGATAGCAAAAGCAATTCTAAGCAACAGAGATATGGCAGGGGGTATCACCATCCCAAATTGAAACTATATTACAAAGCCACTGTGATTAAAACAGCATGATACTGACAAAGAAACAGACCTGAGGATCAGTGGAACAGATTAGAAGATGCAGAAACAACTCCTGAAATAGTCAGCTCCCTCATCTTTGATGAAAGTGTCAAACACCCTCACTAGAGGAAAAATAGCCTCTTTAATAAACAGTGTTGGAAAAACTGGATCTCAAGGGCAGGGGCATAGAGAAAAAATGAGAACCATGATCTGTAATGTAAAAGGTACAAGAACCTGGTGATGAATGTAACAGTGCTGAACACTTAAAAAGTACCAATAAACTCAATAAAAAAGATTAAAACTAGATCCATAACTTTCACTGTGCACTAAATGAAAATAAGAATCAAGACTTGCCATGTAGAGGTACATGATCCGAACAATGAATGTAACTGTACTGTATCCCTAAAATGTACCAATAAACTCAATAAAATTAATAAATAAATTTAAAAAAATATAGGATGAATGCTGCCACAGAGTACCATCCTATGGAAAGGCTGGCTCATAAAGACATTATGGTGTGTCCTCATCCACCTTGTTCACTGGTTTTGGCACTGTGCATCTTCCTCAAAATCAAAATGACCATGAATGGTAAACATTTTTTAATTGAGTCAAGACACTGTGGAAGCCATAACAGTGCAACTGAAGACACAAAAGACTTCCCGAACCTGCTTCAGAAAGGCAACACATGTGCTTAAATACTGCACTGCTTCTCTGCTGCAAGACACCAGAAATGTAACTAAGGACTAAAATATATAATAGATATTGGGAAACTGGAAGAAAAAATGAGAAGATCAAGGGGAGGAGGAAAGGAGAGACAAGAAAAAAAGAGAGAATGGAAGGAAAAACTGGAAACAATGCTTTTGTAAATAAGGAGGGGAAGATGAGTCAAAAGTGGGGAGGGGAATGGGAAAAAAAAAGAAGCAAGATGTATCATGTACAGGTACAATCTTCCAATGATGAATGTTATCATTATGCATGTCTGACATGTACCAAAAATTGTCTTGCTGTAAAAAAACTCAGCTAAATATCCATTATCTGCTGAAAGAAAGAATGATGGGATATATGTGTTTGAAGCAAAGAGTGGGCATTTTGAAGGGGATTAATGGAAATATGTCCTTTGCTATGATAAGATTTTAAAAATTAAATATTCACTGTCTTTTTCACTCAAAAAAAAAAAAAGAAAATCCAAGCAGATTGAAGATATAAATATTAAAACAGAAACACTAAACTTGCTGGAAGATAAATTGGGCACAACTCTTGAAGATATGGGCATAGGAGAAGACTTTATGAATAAATCCTCACTAGCACCAGAACTACTACAACAACAACTGGGATCTCATCTTTTAAAAAGACTTCTGCACTGCCAGAGAAATCACAAGCAGAGCTAAGGGAAAACCCACAGTGTGGGAAAAAACTTCACCAGCTGTTTCTCTGACAAAGGTCTACTATCTAGAATATATAAAGAACTCAAAAGAACAGACCCCCCAAATATAAAGACCTGATTAAAAAATGGGCATCTGAAATGAACAGACATTTCTCAGACAAAGAAGTGAAAGCAGCAAATAATCATATGAAAAAATGTTCAACATCACTGGTCATTTGAGAGATGCAGATGAAAGCAACACTGAGATTTAATCTCATCCCAGTAAGTATGGCTACTATCAAGAAATCAACCAATAACAAATACTGGTGGGATTGTGGGGAGATAGGAACCCTTCTTCGTTGTTGGTGGGAGTGCAGACTGGTGCAACGGCTGTGGAAATCAATATGGAGTTACCTCAAATAACTAGGATCAGAGGTCCCATTTGACCCAGCTCTTCCTTTGCTGGGTATCTTCCCAAAAGAATGAAAAGTATCCAACCACAGTGATATATGTGCACCCATGTTTATATTGGCACAGTTTGTAATAGCTAAAACTTGGAAACAGTCCAATCGTCCATCAACTGGAGACTGGATAAAGATTTTTAAAAATATAAAATGGAGTACTACTCAGCCACTAAGAATGAGAACTTAGATTTATAGCTAAGTGGATGCACATTGAAGCCATACTCTAAAATTAATAAGTAACATGTGTAAATACAGAATAGTGTCTCTAGTGTGAAAAGTAAAAGTGTAAATAAGGATAAAAATATATAATTGATGTGTAATGGGAACTAAAATCTGAAAAAGTAGAGGAAGTGGGAGGGGTAGGGGAAAGGTAAAAAGGGAAAAGATAAATATGTGAAAAGGAAAAACGTGGAAACAAACTCTTTGTAAACAGGGAAGGGAGGGCTAGGGAATGGGGAAAAATAAGAACCAAGATAAGTCATGTAAAGTTACAAGATCCCAATGATGAACGTATCTGTATTGTATACCTAAAATGTACCAATAAATGTAATAAAGATAAAAAATACCCCACAAAGTGCATGGTTGTCAAAGAAGACAGATGCAGGGAGAGGAATTCCTGCTGCTGTATTGAAGAAAAGGTGCCATACTCCAGCTTGCTTTTTTCTTGTACTTAAAATCTATCCTATAAGTATTTCCAGTGAGCATTTTTTACATTCTCATACCTGTGTCTTTTCACGTGGCCTAGAGATCACATGAGGGCAACTTATACATCTCATTTGTCTTTATCCCTTCAGGATATAGCACATTTTGTGCCATATTAACTGCTCTAAAATATATTTAAATATATTTGAGCCTAATTTGACTCTTGGTCCCTCTTCCCAATTTACTTTATGCAGCTGTATTCTATACACTCTCTGATTTGTCTTTGCCAGGGCTTCTCTTACTCTCTCTCAACACTCACATATTAACATACATGTACACACACACACATGCCTACAATTTTCCTTTCCTTTGTACATCTCTCAGTTTCTCATTTTGATTGGCAAAGAAAGTCACTTAGTTTAACTATGAAAAGACCTTCACTTTTTTTTCATTAATTTTATTGGTACATTTTAGGTATACAATATAATGTCATTCATAATTGTGAATTTGTACCTTTACATGATGTATCTTGGTTCTTAATATTTTCCCATTGCCCCGCCCTTCCTTAAACCCTTCCACCCTTCCCTATTTACAAAGACTTTGTTTCCTTTTCTCATATTTATTCCTTTCCCCACCCCTCCCATTTCCCCTTCCCTTCCCTTTTGGACCTTTTTTTTCCTATTTCACATTATCTATCATTCTCTTCCAAAATAGCGGGGGGAAACCAGTGATATTTAATTCTCCAGAGTATGGAAGAACTTATTTAGGGTATCATTGATATAATCTTTCTGCAAAATGTGGATAAATGAGTCCTTTTTTGCTACGTACACCTGCACCAAAATCTCAATGTGGCCAAAATGTACAGCTTGGTCTGTTTCCCTGGCACTGGATAGAAACAGCTTGTGATTAGGCAACTAGGGCCGAAACAATCAATGAACACTGTGTACCTGGATCTGTGTGCAGGGAAAAGTAAGGGAAAGAGGAGGATGAGAAGGGGAAAAGTCTGATTATTGTAACAATTTTTGTGTTATTAATAAATTGTTGGACATTAAACAGATTGACTTGAAGATTTGAATCACTGTTTTTTTACCTGATGGCATGTTGCAGGAATTAAGAAAGGTGCTTTATAAATTTTCCGTAGGTGACAATCTTCTACTGTTCCATGTATGAGGAAAACATAGGTTACATTTTCTTCATAGATATCAGTTTTGATGATTCTTGGTATATCTTTTACATAAATGTTGCTAAGCTTTAATTGCATCGTGTAGTCCCAGTCCTATAGCAAAAAACACAATTTCTTAGTTCATTGTTTATTTATGAAGTTTAATACAAATCCATAGTCAGTTTATTTTTCTTTTCACTTAACACTTTTTATTAATTTCATATTGAATTATGAGAAGTTTTCAATGTCATCTGAAACTGTTAATGGGTTTGTCTTTTCTATCATTTTTTATGAAAGGGTAAATAAGTTTTGTTTATCATCACTTGCCCTTACATCTTCCCTCCTCATTTCCTTACATTTGTGTAATAATAATCTCTCTCCTGCTTTTTTGTCATGTTTTATTTATTTATTCCCTCATTGAGTTTATTGGTACATTTTAGGTATACAATACAGTTACATTCATTATTGGGATCTTGTACCTTTACATGACAGGTCTTGGTTCTCATTTTTTCCCCTTGTTCCTGTCCTCCCTTCACCCCTACTCCCCTCCCCCTTTACAAATACTTCATTTCCATTTTCTCATGTCATCTGTTTTAGATTCCACATATTAGGGAGAGCATTCTCTGACTTATTCTGCTCAACATCATGACCTCCAGATCCACCCATTTTCCTGCAAATTACAAAATCTTATTCTTCCTTAAGGCTGAATACTATTCCATTCTGTATATACACATTTCCTTACCCATTCATCTGTCGCTAGGCATTTAGGCTGGTCCCGTTTCTCAGGTATTGTAAATTAGGCCACAATAAATGAGGGTTTGCAAATATTCCTGTAACTTTAAATGCTTTTGGTTTTTACCAAGGAATGGTATAGCCAGATCAAATGGTAGCTCTAATTTTAGTCTTAGTTTGTTTTGAGAAACATCCATAATGATTTTCATTGTGATTATACTAATTTACATTGTCACAAACAGTGTAGAAACGTTCCTCCATCCAACTCCTGTATTGTCACTTTTTTTTTTGTATTCTTGATAGTCATTCTGACTGGGATGAGATGGAATTTCAATGTATTTTTGAATTGCTTTCCCTTAATGGCTGAAAGTGTTGGACATTTTTTCATATACATAGTGGCCATTTGCACTTCTTCTGAGAAGTGTTCATTTTCCCATTTATTGATTAAGCTATTTGAGTTTTCAGTGTTAAGTTTTTGGAGTTCTTCATATATACTAGATATTAATTTCCTATGAGAATATCAGGTAAAGATTAAGGTTTTTTTCCATTTTGCAGGCTGCCTTTTCACTCTGTAATTTTCCATTTATATGTAGAAACTTTTTAATTTGATGCACTACCATTTATTGCTTATTGGTATTATTTCCAAAAGGAACTCTATTCAGGAAGGCCATGGTTATAGCTTCAAGTATTTCCCTGATAGTCTGTTTTTGTAGTTTCAAGTCTAATACTTAGGGCTTTGATCCACTTTGCTTTGATTTTTACACAGAGGGATAGGGATATAATTTCAATATTCTTCAGATACATATTAAGTCTTCCCAATACCATTTGTTAATGGGGTTGTCTGTTCTCCAATGTATATTTTGGCTTCTCTGTCTAGACTCAGATGGCTGTATTTTCATGGGTTTCTTTTATGTGCAATCTGTTCTATTTCATTGGCCTATGTATGTATTTTTGCACCAGTACCATACTATTTTCGCTACTATAATCTTGTAGTATAATTTGAAATCGAGTGTAGTGTAGCATCCAGTCTGGCTCTTCTTGCTGAAGATTGTTTTGATATTTTGGGCATTTGTGTTTCCATATAAATTTTAGAATTGTTTTTCTAGACGTCTGAATAATGTCACTGGTATTTTGATGGGGATTATGTCTTTAGATAGCTTCTGATAGTATGGCCAGTTTAACAATATGAATTCTATTAACTCATAAACACTGGAAGTTGTATCACATTCTAGAGTTTTCAATTTGTTTCTTCAGTGTTCTGAAATTTTCATTGTAGTTCTCAGCTAGTACATTTGTAGTGCATAGAAATCTGTTGGTTTTTAATATTGATTCTGTGTCCTGCTTTACCAAATTATCAACACTGAAATTCTTTTGGTAGACTATTTAAGGTATAGGATCATGTCATTTACAAACAAGGTTAATTTGACTCCCCTTTCCTTTCTCTACTGATTTTCTGATTTCTTCTTACCTAATTGCTCTAGCTAAAATTTCCAGAACTATATTGCATAGGAGAGGTAAGAGTGAACAACATTACCTTTTTCTGATTTTCCAGGAGATGCTTTCCATTTTTGCCCATTCAGAATAATGTTGGCTATTGGTTTGTCATATATGGCCTTTGCTATATTGAGGAATGATCCCTTATACACTTTCTTCAGAGCTTTTATAATGAAGGGATGTTCAATTTTTTTTTCAGAGACTTTTTCTGTATTGAGATGATCATGTGATTTTAGCCTTAATTTCATTTATGTAGTATCTTACATTTATTTGCATCTATGTTCATCAAGAATATCAGATATTGATCTATATTTTTTTGTTTGTTTGTTTTTAACAGTGTCTCACTATGTAGTTCAGGCTGGCCTTGAACTCACTGTGTAGCCCAGGCTGTCCTTGAACTCATGGAGATTCTCCTGCCTCAGCCTCCCAAATGCTGAGATTAACAGGTGTGCTTCACCACTTCTGGCTCTTGGTCTATAGGTCTTTTTTCTTTTCTTTTTTTTTCCTTTCCTTTCCTTTTCCTTTCTCTTTTCTTCCTTCCTTCCTTCCTTCCTTCCTTCCTTCCTTCCTTCCTTCCTTCCTTCCTCTCTCCTCCCCTATCTCCTTCCCTTCATTCTGGAATTGTATTCCCTTAATTTATTTCCATCATTCTGCTACTGTCCTTGTCTGGTTTCAGTATGAGGGTGATGTTGGTCATATAAAATGAGTTTGGCATAGTCTCGTGATTAAGCTTTGGTAGGTTGTATGTATCTAGAAATTTATCCATTTCTTCTAGATTCTTCAATTTATTAGCTAGGTTTGCTATGTAGTCAATATTCCTCCAGATATCAATGGTGTCTGTTATAACAACCCCTTTATCTTCTCTAAATGTACTGATTTTTCTCTTTCTTTTGGTCAGTTTGGCTAAGGATTTATCAGTCTTGTATATTTTTCAACCAACTATTATTTCAATGATCCTGTGTAATGTTCTTTTAGTTTCTATATCAGTAATTTGAGCTCCAATCTTAATTACTTCCTTCAATTAGTTGAGTTTTTATTCTTTTTTCTAAGATCTTGAGATAAATCATTAGGTCATTTCTTTGTTGTACCTGATTTTTGATGTAGACATTCATAGCTATAATCTTTTCTCTTAAAACTACCCTTACAAAAACCAAACTAAAACAAAACAAAACAAAAAAACTGCCCTTACCATATCTGGATTCTGACATATTACATTTCCATTGGATTCTAGAAATTTTACAATGTTTTTTTCATCAATGACCCACAGATTGTTTAAAAGTGAGTTATTTAATATCCATTTGTTTCCAGTTTTTGTGGTTTCTCTCACTTGTGCATTTCTAGTGTCATTTCACATAATCTGATAAGATGCAAGAAATTATTTCTATTTTTTATATTCATTATGGTTTGCTTTATGGCTTAAAAATATGATGTGTTCTGGACAATGTTCCTTGAGCCACTGATAATAATTTGCATTTTTTTGTACCAGGGATTGAATTTAGTTACCTTGAATAATTTGTATTTTGTTGTTGTTGGGTAGAATTTTCTGTAGATTTTTAAGTCTTTTTGTGGTATGGGGTAGTTTAATTCTGTTTTTTTTTTTTTTTTCTTATAATTTCTTTGTCTGGATGACCCATCTGTTGCTGAGTACTGAACTCATCCATTATTGTTGCACTGGGACATATGTGTTCTTTTGAGTACTTTTTGTTTTATATAATTAGGTACACCAATATCACACACACACACACACACACACACACACACATATGTAGTTATTACATCTTCTTGGATTGTTTCCTTACCGATATGTAGTGGCCTTGCCTGACTAGTTTTGTCTTGAAGTCACCATTGTCAGATATGATTATAGCCCCTTCCATTCTTTCACTTTTTGCCTGTGTAAATCTTTGCTAGTGAGATGTGTTCTTTTTCAAGCAGCAAAATGTTTGGTTTTATTTTTTGATCCACTCAGTCAGTCTAGGTCTTTTAATAGAAGCATTAAGACAGTTTAATACAGAGTTATTATAGGAGGGTACATGCTAATTCTTGTCATTTTGTTGTTCTTTATTTTTTCCCTGCAATCCCCTCCTCTTGTTCTTTCATGTGCGATTTTTCCTTCAATTTTAAAGGATACCTTTCTTGCATATAATAATTTAGATTGGCAGTTATTTTCTTTCAGGGCTTGAAATACATTATCCACATCCCACCTAACCTAAGGGTTTTTTTACAGAGAAGTCTGAAGTTATTCTATAAATGACGTGGTGTTTCTCCTTTGAGGCTTTTAATATTTTTTTCTTATTTTGCCCTCTTGCCATTTTAGCTATACTATGATGTGAGGAAGTTCTTTCCTGGTCATGCTTATTTGGGGTTCCAAATGCCTCCTGTACCTGACTGTCTATGTCTTTCCCATGATATGGGAAGTGTTCTATTATTTAATTTAAATAGATTTTCTGTAACATTATTCAGAAACTCAGTGCCCTCTTACTAACCAAATTTTTAAAATTAATTTCATTGGTACATTTTGGGTATACAATGTAATGGTAGTCATCATTGGGAATTTGTACCTTTATGCAATCTATCTTGGTTCTTATTTTTTTCCTCATCCCTCTGCCCTCCCTTCAACCCCTCCACTCTTCTCTGTTTACAAAGATTTTGTTTCCATTTTTTCATATTAATTCCATTCCCTTCTTTCCTTTTCCTCTACCCCCTGCCACTTCCCCTTTCCCTTTTTCCCTTTTTGTTCTATTTCATATTATCTATTATATCTTTTAGTTCTTGTTTATACTTTCAGTTTCTCACACCAGGGAAACTATTTGGTATTTACACATGTGTGTTCTATTTATTTCACTTAAGAGTATTACCTCAATGTGCATCCATTTAGCTATAATTGTCTC